AGCTCTGCCAGAGGCGCTGCCTGGCCGCAGGCTCCTGGCTGGCCCCGAGGCTGCTGGGAGCAGGGCGTCTGCGCCTAGGCAGGTGTGACCTGGCACTGGCCCACGGCCGGCTCAGGCCTCTTTGGCCATGGGCTGCCTCGACATCTGGGATTGTCCTGAACTCTTGGGTTCTATGCTGTGGCCGAGAGGCTTGGCCATCTCAGTGTGACCCCTGGGCTGGGAAGTAGCGGAATTGGCCTAGCAGGCCCCTGCCCTGCCTTCCCCCCGCTCCCCCCACCCCCTCCACACCCCAGTGCCTGGAGGGTTAAGGTGAGGGACACGCTGGTGGGATGTGGGCTGGGTGAGATGAGAGGGTGCGGCCCGAGCAGACGCCCTGGCATAGCCAGGAGCCTGGGCAGCTTCCAGGACGCCCCCTGGCCGGCATTAACTCGGCTTTTCCCTATCTCCTCTCCACAGTGCAGCTTCGTTGTAAGTAAAACCTCTTCCTGTCCTTAACCTCGCTCCGCCCAGCACTTGCTGCTTTAGCCAGCCTTGCACACTGACCGCACGCAGCGGCACTAACATGCGAAGTGGGAGCTGTCAGGGCGGTGGGCGGTGAACCTGGGGCGCTGGGGCCCTGCTGGGCGCGACCGTTCTGGTCAGGCCTCCTCCCCGCCTCTGCCTCTGCCTCTGCCTCTACCTGCTGCCAGGAGGAGGCGTGTCAGGGCCTCCCTGAGACAGAGGAAGCACAGGGTGTGTGACCTGCAGCTGCCACAGGCCACAGCGTGAAATTCCCCACAGCCACCTCCCTCCCTCCCGCCCAGCCCTGGGCTTTTCGGGGTCTGAGCTGAGGTTTATTGGGCCACACACCTGAGCTACCACCTGAAGGGAGGGTGGAGCAATGGGTGCTGGAAGGCCAGGCAGGTGACTGAGGGCGGCTGTCAGCAGTGGTCTCTGGAGAGGAGGCCACAGAAGCTGGTCTCTTCTCAGACACCTCAGGGCTGGGCCCAGCCGGGAGCTGGGAGCACAGAGCTGGGATCTGCTGGCCGAATCCTGGCTCCCTGGGGCTCCATCTTGCACAGCAGGAGCTGCTTCATTGCCAAGTTCCCACCGAGGGCCTCGCAGCTGGCCGTGGGCTTGGCAGATGAAGGGCTTCCAAGCAGGTGGACAGGTGGGCCCTGAACTGGCCTCTCCTGTGAGAAGGCTGCTCTCTGGGTGGCCATGGCAAGGGCTTACCTTCCAATATGCCAGCGAGCGGGCTGGGAGCCCATTGTGCCTGCTTCTCTGCCAGGCCCCTGCTGGGCACCGAGCCCCAGAGCTGGGGACCAGACTCGGACTGTTGGCCCCACAGGGACCTGTGCCCCATCCAGACTGAGTGGGGCCCTGCTGGCTCACGGGATGGCCGAGCGATCTGGGAAACGGCCTTTTCCTGCTTTGAGGAGCCCAGGCCCCTGCCCAGGGCATCTGGTGGGGGGAGGACAGTCCTCAGGAGACAGGGTCCTCGCTAGGTCACAGGGCCTTGGGCTGGTTCCTAATCTCTGGGCGTCAGTGTCCTTGGCCCCGCACAGCGATCGGGTGACCAGAAAGTCGTGTCCAGCAGCAGCACAGGGCGTGGCGTGCAGGGTGACTGCTGGTTGAAGCTCTGGAGGCAGGACAGGGACAGTCCAGCCCTCTGTTGAGCGGGCAGCGCGGAAGCACCTTCTATGATACGAACAGCTGTCTGTGAAACTCCCAGTGCGACTCCGAGGCCTCTGGCTTGTGCTGGGGGTGGTAGCTCAGCTTTTGGGGCAAAACCTGTTTTGCTGAAGGCGGGAGCCTGTCCACAGGCTCTGGGGCAGGAAGCGGCGGCGGCACCCGCTTTCGCTTCCCAGGTGCTTTCCCCACGGAGAGCAGGCGGTGCGATGGCGCGAGGACCAGCCTCCTGCTGGTCTGTGGGTCTGGCCCATTGGAGAGAGAGCCAGCCAAAGGCCACCTAATCCCCCCCCGGGGGGCCCCCAAACCCACAACCTCCTCCAGGGCCTTCCCGCACCCACTCTGCCTCCATGGCTCATTTTTTCTTTTTCTCCGTCTTCAAGAAAAAAGATACTTTTATGTTAAAAATGTCCAGTGAAGTTTCTGTTGAAAATTATACGCCAAAACCTATGTTTGTGAAGGCCCACATGAGCATCTTCAGGATTCCGTTTAATTTGTTGTGATGCTGACTGTGCCATTTTACAGTATTGCGCTGGTTGCTCTAGGCGTTACATACTTTCACAGTCACTTTATTTTTTTATTTTTAAATATATTTTTATTTCAGAGAGGAAGGGAAAGGGAGAGAGAGATAGAAATATCAATGATGAGAGAGAATTGGCTGTGTCTTACATGCCCCCCCACCGGGGATCGAGCCCACAACCCAGGCATTTACCCTTGACCAGAATCGATCCCAGGACCCTTCAGTCCATAGGCCGGTGCTCTACCCACTGATCACACCTGCCAGGGCTCTCCAGTCTCTTCGATCTCAGTTCAGCTGCTATTAGAAACCTCATCTCCCTCTGTGTGCATTCTTCTCTTACACGCCAGAGCCTCGTACATCAATGCTCTGCCAGGCTGTCACCAGTCCTGCTCCCACTGTCACATTGTCAAGAACTCAAGGGAAAACGGTCCATCGTATCTAACCAGAGACTTACCATCCTTACTGCTCTTCAGTTCTGTGTCTCACTCTTCCTTCGTATTCCTTTCTGTCGGGAGGACTTTCTTTAGTAATTCTTTGAGAGGGAGTCTGCTGGCAAATTCTCCAGGGTTTTTTGTGTGTGTGTGTGTTCTTTTTTTAATCCTCACCCGATGACATTTTTCCATTGATTTTTTTAGAGAGAGTGTAAGAGAGGGAAAGAAATGTGAGAGAAACACGTCGATTGGTTGCCTCTCCCTGCACGTGCCCCATCCAGGGCCTGGGCTGTGGAAGAGCCTGCAACCTAAGTATGTGCCCTTGACCAGAATCGAACCTGGGATCCTTCGGTCCACAGGCTGACGCTCTATCCACTGAGCCAAACTGGCGAGGGCTGTCTAGTTTCTTCATTTCTGAAGGATGTTGTCACTGAATGCAGATAGAGTTCCTAGTGACCAGCTCTTTGCTTTCAGCGCTTTACCCATGTGGTGCCACTTCCTTCTGGCAGCCATCGTTTCTGCTGAGAAGTTCTCAGTCATTCAGATCGTTGCCCCACCTCACCCCCGCCCTTAAGGCACGTGCCTGCTTGTGGGTTAAGTTTTCAGCTGTGTGATTATGATGTGGCGAGACACGGCTTTCCTTGGATTTATCCTACTTGGGTTTCGATGACCTCCATGAATCTGTAAATTTATGCCTTTTACCCAATTTGGAGTGTTTCCAAGCCGTTATTTTCCCACACTTTCCCTGCATTGCACTCTTCCTGTTGTGAATGCCGATGGCACAAGCGATAGACCTTTGGTGCCATCTCAAGGTTGCCTCAGGCTTATTAATTTTTCTTCCCTATGTTTTCTCTGTGTTCAGAGTGGATGCACGTTATTAATTTATCTGCATGTTTTGCTGACGTCTGTCCTCTTCATCTGCCCCTGGACCCACCCACTGCTTTGAGTGCAGGGATTGTACTATTAGTTCTAAAATTCCATCTTGCTCTTCCTCGGATCTCCTGCTGGCCGAGGTGACTCCTTTCCCAGCTGTCTTGAGAATGCTGTGACCACTTGTTGAAGCGCACACACAGTGTAAAAAGGTTGCAAAGCAGTCACAGATTCCCAGTCCCGCTCTTCTCCTTTCCGATGCACTTGAACATCGGTGTCCTCAGAGCGTACGTCCAATTTGAACCTATTTTTTGTGCTGCCCACAGTTCGGCAGGGCTGTCGAGGGCCTTAGGCGTCCTGAGCAGACAGACGGAAGGGAGGCCTCAGCCTGAGTGGCGGTGGGGGGTGTTTGGGGTGACTCTGCCCTCAGAAGCAGTCTGATGACGCCCATGGGGCTGGAGGCTGTGGGCTGGGGGGTTGCCCTGGGCCGTCCTCCTCACACCCCCTCCCGCCCAGGAGAAGGAGCGGCAGCGCCTGGAGCAGCTGCGCCGGAAGGAGGAGGCGGAGCAGCTCCGCAGGCAGAAGGTGGAGGAGGCCAAGCGGCAGCGGCTGGAGGAGGTGAAGCTGTAAGTGCCCGGCCCCGGCCCTGGGCGGCCCGGCCTGCGGGGCTCCCCCTGACGGCCCTGTGCCCACAGGAAGCGGGAGGAGCGCCTGCGCAAGGTGCTGCAGGCCCGGGAGCGGGCAGAGCCGTGCAGGCGGAAGAAGATAAAGCAGATTGAGCAGAGGGTCGCTCTGCAGGAGAAGAACGAGAAGGTGAGAGCCATGGGCGGGCGGGCGTCCAGGTGTCAGTGCGCTGTTCTCTGCTGGGGCCCAAGCAGGTCAAACTTGGTGGCCTGAGGACTAGACCTGGACCCCTCAGGAAGTTAGGGGTTTGACGCCCTGGACCCCTCAGGAAGTTAGGGGTTTGACGACCTGGACCCCTCAGGAAGTTAGGGGTTTCCTGCGCAAGGTGCTGCAGGCCCGGGAGCGGGCAGAGCAGATGAAGGAGGAGAAGAAGAAGCAGATTGAGCAGAAGTTGGCTCAGCTGGATGAGAAGACCGAGAAGGTGCGGGCCCTGGGCCGGTGGGCGGCCAGGTTCCAGTGGGCTGTTCCCTGCTGGGCCCGAGGGTTAGAACTGGACCCTCATAAGTTAGGGCCTTGACGCCCGGGGCGCCTCTCCTCTGCGTCCAGGGCCTGGAGTTGGTTCTGTGCCCCCCGAGGGCGGGAGGTGTAAGCAGCAGCCCTCGGCGAGTGGGTGGCTGGTGCTCTGGGCAGGGCTGGAGGGACCAGCGGGTTTGCAGGGGCCTCGGGTGCCTGTCACAGTCCTGAGACCCGCTCGGGTTGAGTGAGGGGGGCTGCTCTCACGGGCACGCGTGGGTGGGCTCTGCAGGCCAAGGAGGAGCGACTGGCGGAGGAGAAGGCCAAGAAAAAGGCGGCGGCCAAGAAGATGGAGGAGATGGAGGCGCGCAGGAAGCAGGAGGAGGAGGCGCGGAGGCTCCGGAGGCTGCAGCAGGTGCGATGGAGGGGTGGGCTGGGCATCCAGGGGGAGGGGGCGCAGATGGGCGCTGCCCGAGCCCCTGAGGGCTGCTGGGCACACCCCACTTGGTTGGCTTAATTCTGGTGGCGCTTGTGGCTTCCAGCTCTGAGGAGGATTAACAGACACGTTGGGATAGATATGGACGCTAAGCCAGACTTCCGGCCTCAGCTCTGCCCCTGTTAGCCGCGTGGCCCGCACAGGCCACTGGCCCTCTCGGTGCTTTGGGTCCTTCAGGTGGCGGTGGGATCTGCTCGGTAGGGCTGCTGTGAGGGCGGGATGTTCACCGGTACGAGTGGGGACCTACTTCCGTGGAGCTGTCGATCTTACGCCCTGGGGAACACGAGTCCGTCGGGTTGTGACACTCACGGCTCCGTTTGCTGAGTGAGCTCCGTGCCAGGCACTGGTCTAGGAATGTGAGGTGCAGGTATCCCTGCTTTTGTCCCCATGTGATCGATGAGGAAACCAAGGCCTGAGGGCTTAAAAGGTAGCCCAGCGTCTCAGCGAGTGCGTCCGGCTCCCGTCTGCGCTTTAACTACCAAACCTGCCCCAGAAGCCGTTGCTGCAAAATGCCTTTCCGGCTGGTGGCGGTGGTTCTGTGATGCCTGGCGGGGGGCCAGCCTGGC